ACTACTAAGAAACAAAAAGAATTAAAAACTGTTTTGTGATAAGTAGAAGTATTACGCTCTTTTTTGGTTTGATAACTTTGTAATTCCTGCGTACAAACGCGGTCACAACGAATAATTCGAATTTTCGTTTATGAATTCAGTCGTTATTAGTTATTTTCCAATTTAGATCATATAACCCATTTTTGAATTTTTGCAATTCCTTGCATTACATCAGAGAACCAAAAAACCATTTTTTACCTGATGCACGATTTGTTTTATGAATAACTCCTTCGACAACTAAAAGCAGAATAAAATAAAGGTATGTGAAACAAAGATATTACTCACAGGTATGAGAATATTGCGTTACGATAATTTGGATTTTATCCTTTTTAGTAGAACACATGGAGATTGTCATTATGTAAATATTATTTGTCTTCCTATTTTTGTCATAAAGCATCATAAAAATATTTTACTGGGTTTTTTCACAATAATTTTTTTTCTAAACGGATAATAGCTAATGATTCATTTAAACTGCAACAAGAACCACTACTTACATCTTTAGACAGTGTGGAGACATATCCCGATTGGGTGTATTTCCTAATCGGGATATATATCCCGATCTGAACATCTTTTTTTACAGCAAAATGTTTTTAATATCCCGAACGGAATATAGTTTGAAATTATATCCTGATCAGCGCATAATTCGGTTTCTCGATTGAGATATCAAAAAAATCTATCTTTTGATCAGGATATGAAACATTTTTGTTGGTCGGTTGTGAGGTTCAACTCACAGTCTCATATTTATTTGCATAAAGTGAACGGCTATACATAGTACAAGAATGAAGCAACAGTTGTGCAAGAATTGCGGAAGAACAGAAAGAGATGAGAAAACCAGAGGATGACGCAAGTATTGCGCGAGAACTGGATTACGTAAGGATAGTATAAGAACACAATGAGTCACGAACGAAATGAACGAAAGAAAGAAGAGAACAGTCTTATAGGCTGCCAGTAATGGCAGATCATAACATCAGTGTAATTTATAGCTTTCACATTAACATGCTTTTCATCCAATCTAATTAGTTTGATGAACCGAACCATGTTGCGTTAGTGTGGCCGACAAGGTGCCAAAAAACGCAGATTTGTGCTGGAATCTTGAAAAAAAATTGATATGGGTTATGTGATCTAAACTGGAAAATAACCAATAGCGACTGAATTCATAAGCAAAAATTCGAAAATACCATATTCGGAATCAGGATCAAAAACTGAGTCGAATGATATGTATTCCTATCCTATCCGATTACTTTAACTTTTTTCGAATTCCTACATTGAAAAATGATCGAGATTTTCAGCCAAATATGAAACAATTCGAAAAAAATTAAAGTAATCGGATAGGATAGGATAGGATAGGAATACATATCACTCGACTCAACTTTTGGTGCTGAATCTGAATATGATATTTTTAGTCCATAGAAGTTTAGTTCTGTTGAGGGCGGTCATAACTTTGTTGTCAAACATCTAGTTATGAATGTTCAGTCACAAACCATTCGCTCCTGTTTACCATCTGTCACGTGACGTCATTACGTTTAGCTAACTCACTCTCAGCTTGCACCTCCCCCCACTGCGCCGTCACCACAAGCGTCAAACCGATACCAAATAGATGGTCCAACACTCATCATTCACACATTCACGTTTGGCATATGTCAAACCTGTCATGACACAATTTTGTGTACTTACCGAAAATCACAAGTATTTTGTTTGAGAAACATATTGCCAAAGCTCCAGTCGTAGTAGCCGGTTTCGTTCTGAAACATTGTGTCATGACACGTTTGACATATGTTAAACATGAATGTATGATTGATGAATGTTTGACCATCTATGGGTATTGGTTTGACACATGTCATGACAGGACATGAATGTAATGAATTTTTGATTGTTTATGACATCTTTATGAGAGAACTTTTGACACGACACATGACAAAATAGTTATGACCACTCTGGTTCTGTTAGAGAAAATCGAGAATTATGGGTAGAATTTCGATTTTTTCGCCTCCGATTTAGAAAAAATGATTTGTCTCAACGAAGAAAAGAAAAGAAATTAAAAAGCTTCGAAATACACTTCTCTATACACACTTAGGTTCGCTGATTACGAACAACACTTTCTGAAGGTTCGAGGGCTACGTGGAGCTGAGCTATCGAACATTTTTCGAAACGTAGTGAAATTTCGGAAAAACGACATCTTTTGATTTTTTGAATTTTATTCCTAGAACAAGTTCTCCGACTACCTTTTAAATAAGATGTTCGTGATCAGCGCAAAATTCTACGTGGAATGGTGCATATTTAAAGCAAAACTGAAACAGTGCTTCTTCTTTGAGCGTCTTACATATGTGCGAAACAAACAAAATTTTTGTTTCTCGAATGGCGACGTGACGTCCTTACTTCAATTTATTTCTGTCTTCACATACATGTATAAGGCATTTTCTAGAATTCAAAATATATAATTATAAAACCCAAATAACTTAGCTATTTCATCACCAAGCCAGTCAGAGATGGATTTACAGAATTTGAACAAACGTGTCGAAATCACAATTTTGAGGCTATTTTTAGGGAGGGTTTCAAGGAAAGTGGGGAGGCTTTCAAGGACAAGTGCGGGTAAGAAGTTGTTCAGAATCAGATTCCCCGGAATATAAACGAAGAATTTTTCAAAATTCATCAAACTCGATTTTTAAATTGAAAAATACGATTATTAAAATTTTAAAATTTAGTAAAATTTAATTTAAAAGTTCGATTTAACAAATTTTTAAAATTCCATCGTTCTTATTCTAGGGAATCTGATTCTGAACAACTTTCGTACTCACACTTTCGCTTGAAAATGCTTCCTTTGAGCGAAATTAAGTTCAAGGTATTGTGAAAATATTTTCGCTTAGCTAAAAAGTAGAGAAACTTTTTAGTTTTTAATTTTCCCAGTTTGTAAAGAACACTTCGAAGTATATGTTCTGAAGTTTTTTCGGCTTACTGCCATTGTTTAACTGAGAAAAAATTAATTACTTAAAAACATATTATTAAATTTTTTAGCACAGGGCTGCTATAAATAAATTCTAATGAATGAATTGGATTCTAAAACTCTTGAGCTAGCCAATCTTGTAGCTCGTGAAATTTTCTGTCAGATGAGGTATAGCTTAAATTCTTTTGTTGCGTCCTTATTTTACAAATGGGATTGTAAGCTGGTAGCGTAGGCTAATTTAATGTTAATTAGTGTTAATTAGTCAATAACAGGAAGGAAAGAACAAAACTTTTACATATTTTCTCTTAGTAACTATTCTCCACACATTTCTCTATCGATCTGTACAAGAACCAAGTTTTTATGATGAATGGAGAATGGACAGGAATTCTTTTAATAATAGTCCCTTGTTCAAGAACTGAACAATATTTTTTAAAGTAATTAATTTTTTTCTCAGCCAAATAATGTCAGTGAGCCGAGAAAACGTCAGAACATATACATCGAAGTATCCTCTACAAACTGGGAACGTTGGGCGAAAATCTAAATGGGGGACTCCGCCTTAAGACCTTTGTATCATTATGCGACTCTTTTTAGCTGTATTTTCGATGAATCTCTTCTCTCACGTTTCCGATTCCGTCAAAGTTAAAGTGTGCCTTTTCTTTAAGGTAGAATGAAAAGAATTAGTTTGGAAAAAACACTTTTATTTTCTATAAACTTCTATTCTTTAAACATGAGTCTCTTTTTCTTTTTTTAACACAAAAAACCATCAACAATAAAAAAACAAAAGAACAACAAACAAAGACAGAAATATCAAACATAAGAATCACTATGTTTATCATAAACGAAAATCTTTTCCAATGTAAATAATAATGGTTCTAGAAAGAGAAAAAAAGAATAAACTTCAGTTGCATTTCTTTAAGACAGTATTTTATCGGAGGTAGATCTTTTTCTCCCTTTCCTTCTGTTCAAAAAGATTCTGCTATGTATGCAAACGGGCCATATACTACCTCCCTCAAGTCTCACATTGGAGGGTGTGAACAAAAATGAATTTCTGATTAGGACTTCTTGGTTTAGAAAACACGACAGGATCTACTATTTTCTTTCTTTCTGAATTAATAGTCCAATGAGCAGAATTCTTTTGTTTATTTCCGCTCCGTTTTTTTTCTGTTTCCTCTTACTAATTTCTACCTGTGGTTCTCTCTTTGTATCATGTCAGATTGACTTTTGAAATTTAATTTATGTTTACAACAAACATAATATGATTCAAGAAGGAAATTACGTTAGGAAATTATTCAAAAAATTTTATACACATATTTCAATAAATCTAAATTCAGGTATGTGTACACTATTCTGTTTTCAATCGTACCAGAGAGTAGAAGAGAGAACTAGAAACGTGGCGGTTATAAAATGAAGACGTAATTTTCTTAAATCGAAGTATTTTTTAAACGAAAAACTTGTGTTTTGTAATGAAACTAGAAGAGCGGAGGAGGCACATCATCAGTAAAACTTTTTTCAAAAGTTAAAAGTTGATGTAGTTAAAATCCTAGTTATGACTATGAACCACAGTTATAATTATCAACTGAATTTGATCGATATAATCGTGGTTGAAAGAGTTACAACTCCAAATGGGTAGAGTGATAACTATTCCAACCCCAGTTATACTGCATCAGGATTTAGGAAAGACTGCCAACCCAAAATAAAATTCCGAAAGCTTATTTCACTTTGTATTGTGGCACAGTTATAACTAAAGTTGAAATAGTTATCGCTCTATCAACTAAGAGTTGTAACTCTCTCAACCGCAGTTATATCAATCAACACTATCAAATAGTTATAGTTATTTTGGACTAAAAGCTGAATTAGTTATAATTAATTTTGACTTCAGTTAGTTATAACTCAAGTAGCTTTAAACCCATAAGTAGAAGGAGTAGGAGTTAAATGGAACAGATGTTTCGAACTAAATTCTTCGTACCTCTGTGTTCATTATTATTTTCGGATGCCAATGGTGAAGCAGGAGGACAAAAGATGATTGGCGGTGGTGGAGGAGGAGGAGGAAACGTATCTTCAATTGGAATTAAACTAAAATCAAAAGAAAAACTGATTAAATTTTTTTGATACATAAGAGAATCTATATTACCTTGAAATCTCTGAAATACATCTGTCCGTTGGTGTTTCTGTCGTTGTTGGTTCATCAGTCTCGATTTTATCGACGACTATTTTTAGAACTAAAAAATAATAGCAATAACATTGACAAACAGCCCTAATTTTTTTGATTCTTAAGCGCGAAGCATTTGTGAATAGGTCGGATCGACTTCGAAGAAACGCTTTATAGCACCTGAATCATTGCAGTGAAAATCTGAGAGTTAGAAAGCAGATGCAGAGCGGTGACTGTAGCAAAAGTTATTTTTAGAGCTTTTTAAAAAATAGAAATATTTTTCTTTTTCTTTCTTTTCTCTGAATGTTTCTTATACTCCTGCTTTTCCTCGTTGGACTAAGGTAATCTGTCTGTCGTTCCTCTTGGTTTCGTATTTTTCTTCAAATTGTAAATTCGTCGACAATCAAACGAACATACACATTTTATAATAACTGCAAAAACTACCATTGATCCAAGCAAAATGAATACGATGAGGATTGAATTTGGTAATGATGCCATTTTTATTATTGTTGTTGTTCCTTTTGCAGTTGTTTTTTCCAATTGCTCATAATTAATTAACTGAGCTGTAAGATTGAATGGTTTTAATTGTGAAATGTGTTGGGATAAATAGTATTTCGCTTCATGTTCTTCTTCGCAATTATTCATGCATATTTTCTGTCTAATAGCCTATAAAGAAAACAAAAACAAATAGCATATTAAGAAAGAAAGTTAATTTTTAGCACCGAGGATAGAGACCAACATATACTATTTTTTCCGGTGTGGTCAAACAAAATTTCTAAGATTTTTGTTAAATTTTTCTGAGTTTTTCTGCCTGCGGTTTGTAGTAAAAATGCAATGCCCAGGTTAAGTCAGCCGATTACTAGCCCATTCTAAGTCAAAGATTTTTGCTAATTCAAATTCGTGATTTTCTCAAGATTCGAGCCAATTCGAGGTATTTTTCAAATTTTCAAACTGGAATCGAATTGCTCTCTTATCTATCGTTAAACTTACTTCTTTCAACGGACCACAGCATTTTTTAATTGCATGATGTTGCAATTCAGATATTTCGCTAACGTTGGACTTTTATCGGTCATGTTAAATCTAAAAGTAGAGAATGAGAACTAGGAAAAAGAATTTTAATTTTTTAATATTTTTATTATTTTAAAAGTTCAAATAACTTCTTGACATCGAGAAAATTAGCTTAAAACTATAGTAACAGTGATGCGTCCAAACACAGTTCGACTATTTTCTGTTTTTCCTTTTCCTAAACTAAATATATAAACCAACTTTTTTGCCGAAAATTCATTGAACATATTTTACATTGAACATTTATTTTGCTGCCGTTTTCTGTGTTGCTATTTATGAGTTCAATCTCACGGCGAATTATTCGTGATGTTCTAATCAAGTTTTCATTTTCTATATTATTGGGCATCTGCTGAGGTTGAGGCGCCAGCATCATTGCCGGAAATGTGACGATATTAATCACTCCACTATCATCCAACAAATTTTGCAGCATCAAGTGCAAATAAACTGAAAAGTCGTTCAATACGATATAACTTTCCGAACGTTTACTTGAGCAAATAATGCGGTAACCATCAAAAGTTTTCATTCGCTCAACAAACGTCCGATAGTGGGTGACTGTATCTCCTAATTCTCGTAATTTCTCATAGGCATATGAAACTTTGACAATATTGCCATCAGCTAAAGTGGTCCATAACCATTGAATCAGTTGATCAAACGCGGTCTGTGTACAGATATAGTGTGCATTTTGATTCTCTGCCGTTTTTGAAAAACCAAGATCCTGGCGGTGGCCAGCATCCAGTTCATCTTCACCTCGAAATAAATACGGATCGCACGGCTCATTTGGTTCAATAGTTTGTGATTGTGCAGTGTCTCTATCATGCCAAACAGTTTCGACAGAAGAGTCTGCTGTTGATTGTTGATCATCATCAGTTGAGGTCCGCCGTGTAAAAGATCCAATGAAGACGTGACGCATGTTTGAACTATGTGAAGAAAATCTTCTTTGATATTCGAGTGAGATACGTTGGAACATATCTCTATCAAATTTTCACATAAGTTGAACACTTTTAAGTCTGAAGAAAAACACCTTTTACTAGGTCTAAAGAGTAAAAAGAATTTAGTCTAAAGAAAATCTCCGACTAGGTCTTTGTAAAACAATCTTATTACCCGTAGTCCCGTTTGGTTTACATTCTATAGAGATAATTTTAAGCCCGTCTTCGAACAAAAAGTTTACCGAAGCCACCATATACTTTTATTTGTAAGTTCTTGGATACAGGCAGGAGTTGTTAGTCTTTCTGAGAAATGAGTATTAGAACAGATTTGGGTAAAATAAGATATTTACCAACTTCATTGTGGCCAGATGAGACGAACTTGAGTGTATTTGGTAATGTAAATGATTGTTTTAAACACAAAATAAGAAAAATGTTAGAAATTACAAGAGTATACCAGTTCTTACGTGAATAAAGTTGTTTTCGATTAAATCTTCGAGTTGATGCTATCGCCGAGGATAAATCAGCTCGGAACCGAAAGTGTGTTTATCTAAACGAAAATATAATACTGAAGTCGGTAAAGTTAGAAAACTGTCGTTAACGGAGAAATACGACATGAAGACAGAAAACTTGTCAGATGGAAGTACTCTCTATGCCTGTGCAGAAAGGGCATACTGTTACTCGTAAACAGATAGGAGAAGGTCTTCGAACAGTAGGGAAGACTGTCGATCATTCATAGTATTTACGATAAAAAGTAGTTTCTTAAAATAAACATTCCTTTTTTTATTTTAGTTTGATTTAACACATCAGGTCATTAAAATGATTTATTTCACTGAAGTTCAAAGTTGTTATCTTTATCCATTTATTGATTTGGTATGTGTGGTACCAACTCATCAATAATATAACCAACTATTGTGTATTTTCCATATATTTCAGTATCCATTTGTTATGGTTGGAAAATGTAAAAGGTACGTAGTTTATTTTCCTGATTCTTTCATTAGATAACTGCAGAAGGTTCTTTTTGGATACGAGGTGATAAAGATGAATTAAAAGAGCAAAAGTCCACCTTCTTGATCGTAATCATCATGTGTGGTGTTGTATTGTTCACTTGCGGTTTTACCATCCTCATCATCTAAATAACCAACAGAAAATAGTCACGAATTACTTGTGATATACCTGTCAAAATATTTACCATCTTGTGCCAGAAATGAGGGATACACTTGATCATCTAGAGTAACCGATTGTGCTTGTTTTCCTCTTTTGATTTCTGTGAACAGAAGCAGCATTGTGCAAGAAATGAAGAATTTATTCGTCTTGCGGAGCTTACCTAAACGTCTTCTTTTTGCAATAAGTGTTGAATAGCAAGAACGGTGAAAATTTTCCCCAATGAGCGACAATGCAGGTACAATCAGTTCTATTTGAGAACGAAATTTTTGATCGTGAGCAGCGTCGCTGATAGTTTCCAAGGCTGCCGCATTCTCGCTACTTTGACCACATAAGAAACATTGCCGATTAAACATACTTGCGCTGTGATCTGCCGTGTGGCTTTGGTGCCATTTAAAAGCTTTGAAAGTCAGTGATGTCGTACTTCTGACATCAGCAATCTTTGCTCATTCGTTCGTACGTTGTGCTCTAATCATGTGTTCTTTATTATGTCTGTTTTAGGAATTGACGATAAATGTATGGTAACAAGATGGTTTGGAATGATACAAAGCGTTCAGCGATTCAACAATATTCGTAAGTGCTTGTATGGTGTGGAATTCTCTAGATTTCCTTAGACTTCGTCCTGAGAAGAGAAGTGGAACTAGTTACGCAGAATTCTGCCGAATTCTATAACTTTCCTAGAATAGAATTCTAATGGAGTTTTTATGATGTCAGATTTCACTGATACATGGAAGTCTGTGGAAAGTGTCTGAAATGTAGGAACTCTGATACCCCTCGTAAAGAAGGTTGAACTAGTTCGTTATTTCTGAAAATCACTTTTCCATTACTTTTAAACTTATGCTACTTAGTAATTACAAATCAGGATTTCCTTTACTTCAACTGATTTTGCTTGTAGTGTGAAGATGACCAACAGCAATCGATTTAAAAATGTCCTTATGAAAATTATGTTGGGTCATAAACATTGTGTCATTTTATTTCAATTTTCTTTTTGGTGGCTTTATCTGTTGTTGGAATTGTAAATTTTGTTTTGTGAGATAAATTGCAGTTAACAAAATAATGAGAAAGTCAGCATTATGTTAAGAAGTGCATTTGAAAACACATCTATTTGAGTCGTTGATCGACTACCTGCTGTTGTAAATTGCGAACAAACTTTTTTGCCTGATTTGTGTTTCTACGAGAACAATCAAAAATACTTTCTAGGAGAAATTTGATAGCTTATGGTCACAGAGATTCGCAGTAGCCTTCATCAAACTCTACCTCTCAAAATTTAAAAAAAAATTCGAATTTACCCAAACCCGTGATTTTTTACTGTTAACAGTATTTAGCTTCGGAATGAAGCAGAAAATGTATGCAGTCTTTTGTCTCCGTTAAATTTCATTTGGTTTCTCTAAATATTTGTGAATAAAAAGAAAATCAGTGAGTTGAATTAGTTCAGAAAACGTTTCACTACAGGAGCTATATAAAATAGGTTCTGTGAAAGAATCCAAAATAATCTATTAATAATAAGCATTATTTCCTGTATATTTTTTCATTTAAACCAAAAACATGTATTTATTTGTGCTTTCTTCAAAAAACGGTCGAAAGATGCATTTATTCATTCAATGTCGTTGTATTAACCCTTTACACCCGAAGACACTTTTATTATAGCTGCCGCTGAAATAACTATTGCATTGAAACTTACAGTTCTTTGGTACATCCATGTTATGTCTGGACTTAAGTGGTGTTGCTTTGCCGCGTGGATACATGATGTCTCTTGGAAGGGACATTCGGGTGTAACGACATGGATTTTGTATTTTTTTCATTATTATTCCGAACTTCCTTTTTTACCCTATTTTGCTGTATACTTCATCATAAATTAATGTGTATTTACAGATTATTAAAATCTTTTATAAATATGCGTATTATGCATATTTGTGTCACCCGCAGTCAAAAGGTTAATGTAGTTTTGAGAAAATTGTGGATGTTATATATGTAACATTCCTTCCTCTTTCTGTTTTCATTTGTCGTGATCGAAAAGAATGCTAACTCAGTCTTTGTTGAGTCAACATTCTTTCTTCATTCATATACATGTTTGTTTATACACATCGAGTTAAGTCTTTTGGTTTTGACGTTTTGAGAGATTTTATTCTTTCCAATAAAATCTGTGGAGGCTAGAAGTCAACTTTTATTATTTACCTTTGTGGAGTTACTGTTCCAAACATTGAAGATGAATCTTAGAAATAAATATGTAATCTGGTAGAAAATTAAATTGTCTGTCGTTTGGTATAAAAAGAAATTTCTTTTATAAATAAGAAATGGAGAAAAATGCACCAAGATTTAGAGAAATGTTTTTTGTTTAGGAGATACCTGTTACAATTATAACGTACCAAATGCATTTGGTTTAAGCTTTATTTCAAGTAAGAAAGAGACAACTGATCCACCTACCCCGAAGCGGAAGCCCATTATATCAGATGCAGGTGGATTAGTCCTTGAATAGCGAGAATAGTAATAAAAAAAAT